CAGGCTAGTAGGCTCATAAAATATTAGTTGAAGCTGGGAACATTCAAAACAAGTCTGGTATGGAAGAAGGAAGAAGAAAATCAGAGAAATAAATGGCAACGAGGTACATTTCAATGAAAGTGTCACATTACTCATCTGAAATCTAATAGAAATAAACATGATGTTGATGGTGATGGCAATGGCAATGGCAATGGTGATAGCAATGACGATGACAATAATAACGATAATGATGATAACAATTATAATAATGATAACTATGAAAATAATAACAATAACTAATAATAATAATCATAACTATGAAAATAATGATAACAACTAATAATAATAATCATAACTATGAAAATAATGATAACAATTAATAATAATAAAAATAACATTAATAATAATAACATCAACATTAATTACAATACTAATAGGAAAAATCGCATCAAGAATGAAAGTAAAAACAAGTACAATGACAATGATAATAATTGTGATGAATTTGACATAATTAATACCATATGATGATATACTTTACAGTAATAAAAACAACAGCACTAAACATTATCAATAACAACCCTACAAACACACAAAACAAACACTTCCATGCTCACCTTTCACCTACTGACCTAGACTTCTTAGGTATAGTGGTGGGCCGCCTAGCCAAATTAGACACAGCTCTTCTGATCGAGGCCGGCTTGGGAGGTGGGGTCGGTTTGACAGGACGAGGGGCGCTGCTGCTGCTGGCTTTGGGTATCCTGGACTGGCTAGATGAGGGGGGGGACTCTGTCTGGGTGTGGGTGGACTGGTTGGGCAGCACAAGGCGAGGAACTAGCTGGAGGTGGCCTGGTGCTGAGGTGGTCTGGGCGTGGAAAGGTGGGGTTGGAGGTGGGGAGGTGGGAGGTGGGAGGTGGGAGGTGGGAGGTGGGAGGTGGGAGGTAGGAGGACGAGGTGGGAGGTAGGAGGTGGGAGGTGGGAGAGGAGGAGGAGGTAGGAGGAAGGAGGAAGGAGGAGGGAAATGGAAGGTGGAAGGAGAGAGGAAAATAGAGGAATGGGAAGAGGATAGGGACGGAAGGAGAAGGGGAAGAAGAAGGAGGAAAAAAAGGAGAAAGAAAAGGAGAAGAAACAGGTGAAGAAAGAAAAAGGAGGAGGAGGAAAAGAGAAAGCAAATAAAGGAGGAGGAGGATGAAAGCAAAGGATGAGAAGGAAAGATGAGGAGAGGAGGATGGAGGAGGGAGGAGGAGGAGGAGGAGGAGGAGGAGGAGGAGGAGGAGGAGGAGGAGGAGGGAGGAGGGGAGGAGGAGGAGGAGGAGAGGAGGAGGAGGAGGAGGAGGAGGAGGAAGGAGGAGGAGAGGAGGAGGGAGGAGGAGAGGAGGAGGAGGAGGAGGAGGAGGAGGAGGAGGAGGAGGAGGAGGAGAGGAGGAGGAGGAGGAGGAGGAGGAGGAGGAGGAGGGAGGAGGTGGAGGTGGAGGTGGAGGTGGAGGGAGGTGGAGAGATGGAGGAAGGAAGCAGAATGAAGAAGGAGAGAGGTGAAGGAGAAGGAGGAAGGGAAGCAGAATGAGGAAGGAGAAAAACGTTTGAAGGATTTGGTTATTTTGGGCTTTTGCTTGTGAGTTTACAGTTAATAAGATGGCAGGATCTGTTGCCCTTTATTGTTAAAGTTATTAGGGAAGCAACATTTTCTTTTTAAACAACATAATGCCACCATACATATAAACAGTTAGTGAGCAACAGTTAGTAAGTTTTCACATGCTCATTCAATCAAGCAGGTAATGTTAATGTAGCAAAATCATGAGCTCTGACACTGTACTTTATACTCAGTGAACTGTAAACATGATTCATCCATAAAAGAAGGTTATCAAGCCTCACCTGGCAACCTGGGGAACTGCTACAAGAGAGAAAATTCCTTTCAATCTTACCTGAAAAGCATACATACGAAAACCCTGCTCTGTGACTCACCTAGGCAGCTTGGACTCGGCAGCGGGGGGGCTGGGTGCCGCGGGGTGCAGGGTGAGAGTCGAACCACGCGGCGACGAGGTGTTGGAGTACCCACTGTCAGACCTGCCGGCAGTGATGGTGGTGGGCCCTTGTCAAACACTTCCATTTACACTAACTCACACGCTTGACACCTCAGTTGGGGGGAACCTCACACATGACCTCAGGCAAACTTCATTCTGTGGCATACTTACGCATGATCTGGCATACATATTGTAATCAAAATTGTCCGATCCTTAATTGTAACAAAACTAGGTTAAAAATTGGTTATGGCAGAAAATCCTAGTCATATTTGTCACACCTCTAACACACATACACGCAGTTACTTTCATACATTTTAGGGAGAACTGAACAACATTGGTAATATACATTTGTGTATCCCTTGTACTTTTAATACTTGTGTTATTCAGTGAACTTCAATTTCAAAAACTAATGTTGAATTGCAATTACAAATAAATCTATCGAACAAAAAGCACTTCCAACCGTATATTCAACATAAATATTAATAATAAAAACAAAATCAAAA